CCACGAGTTTACGTAAGTCCTGGGGTTTAGTCACATCTGCGATCACTTCCAGTGGTTTCGACTGATTTGGCGATACTTTAAGACACTCTTTGGCCACTTCTGACACTTTCGCCGCTTGCCTACCGGTAACCACAACATGTGCACCGGCTCTGGCAAACTCTACGGCAGTCTGAGCACCGGTACCTGAACTCGAGCCTGTGATCAGCACTACTTTCCCCGTAAAATTGAAGTTTATAGACATTGTTGAGTTGTATTTATTGTTTATACAAAACTGTAATAAATAATAAATATGATAAGTTTGTTATTTTATATAAGTTACAGAGTGGTAAAACATGTTTTAAAATTAATTTAAATATAATACTAGTATTTATTTTAAGTTGATATTAGTGAACGAAGTACATTGAGTTGCACAGGTATTTAACACTGTACATTATATAGTACTACTTTCAGCAAAGTATAATTAATATTGTTAGTGCAAACATTTCAAAATTTTAAAAATTTGCCCGTGATTTGCACTATGAACATCCTTCAAATATCATAGTATTACGTGAATAGTAGATGAATACTACTATATTACTGTACGTACAGCACATAACATAAATTAATATAAATACAATATTTATAAATACAAATGACCTTGGCAAGTTCGACTATACTATTCTATTACGATTTTCATTCTACAGTTTCATTAACATCAGACTCATATGAAGTGAAAGCGGGGGGAGTGATAAGGAAGCAATATAAATTAATTTTAAATCAAATGACATTCCTCATATTAATTTCGAGCAAATTGCAGTATTTGCAAGCTTATTTGAAAGTTATAAAAATTAATAATTTTAAAGTTTAAACTTTTAGCCCATGACTGTATTTTTGATTCTGCAATATATTAGTGTACTAATTTATAATGTTAATTGATAAATTTTACAACCTTGAAACTAATCTAAAAATACTTATAAACTTGACATGTGCATTGAAAACTTATTTACTTATAATAAATTTTAATTTAAACATTTATAAATCATATTTTAAAACAACAATATTTGTAATAAAAATTTTAACTTTTAAAATGANTGTACAATTATCCTAGCTCATTTTAAAAGTTAAAATTTTTATTACAAATATTGTTGTTTTAAAATATGATTTATAAATGTTTAAATTAAAATTTATTATAAGTAAATAAGTTTTCAATGCACATGTCAAGTTTATAAGTATTTTTAGATTAGTTTCAAGGTTGTAAAATTTATCAATTAACATTATAAATTAGTACACTAATATATTGCAGAATCAAAAATACAGTCATGGGCTAAAAGTTTAAACTTTAAAATTATTAATTTTTATAACTTTCAAATAAGCTTGCAAATACTGCAATTTGCTCGAAATTAATATGAGGAATGTCATTTGATTTAAAATTAATTTATATTGCTTCCTTATCACTCCCCCCGCTTTCACTTCATATGAGTCTGATGTTAATGAAACTGTAGAATGAAAATCGTAATAGAATAGTATAGTCGAACTTGCCAAGGTCATTTGTATTTATAAATATTGTATTTATATTAATTTATGTTATGTGCTGTACGTACAGTAATATAGTAGTATTCATCTACTATTCACGTAATACTATGATATTTGAAGGATGTTCATAGTGCAAATCACGGGCAAATTTTTAAAATTTTGAAATGTTTGCACTAACAATATTAATTATACTTTGCTGAAAGTAGTACTATATAATGTACAGTGTTAAATACCTGTGCAACTCAATGTACTTCGTTCACTAATATCAACTTAAAATAAATACTAGTATTATATTTAAATTAATTTTAAAACATGTTTTACCACTCTGTAACTTATATAAAATAACAAACTTATCATATTTATTATTTATTACAGTTTTGTATAAACAATAAATACAACTCAACAATGTCTATAAACTTCAATTTTACGGGGAAAGTAGTGCTGATCACAGGCTCGAGTTCAGGTACCGGTGCTCAGACTGCCGTAGAGTTTGCCAGAGCCGGTGCACATGTTGTGGTTACCGGTAGGCAAGCGGCGAAAGTGTCAGAAGTGGCCAAAGAGTGTCTTAAAGTATCGCCAAATCAGTCGAAACCACTGGAAGTGATCGCAGATGTGACTAAACCCCAGGACTTACGTAAACTCGTGGACACAACTATCGGTCATTTTGGGAAACTGGATGTTTTGGTCAATAATGCCGGCGCCGGTGTTGGCGATAATATTGCGGATAAGGATTTCTACGAGAAATACCTGAAAGTAATGCAAATAAATCTCAATTCTGTGGTCTATTTGACACATCTATGTGTCGAGCATTTGGCGAAGACTAAGGGAAATGTAGTCAACATTTCGAGTGTAGGCGCTATGCGAGCGGTTAGTATAGTTTTTTTTATATTTTTTATTGTAATGATTCTTATAGTTAAATATACTTTTTAATAGGTTCAGGGTCTAGCAAGTTTAAGTATGGCTAAATGTGCAGTCGATATGTTTAGTACATGTATGGCAGCCGAGTTGGGTGCAAAAGGTATCAGGGTTAATGTTGTTAAGTAAGTTTAAAATCCTTGTTTATATTTAAAAAAATAAAACTAACTTTTGAATAAATTTAAAACTATAAATTAATTAAATTTCCTAAATGTTTATACTATTATAAGTTTTGAAATACGGTAAAAAAATATGTTTAAATTATTTAGTCCGGGTCCAATTCGCACGGGATTGTTAACAGCCATGGGCACACCTGAAGTTATAGCCACACAGTTATGGGACGCCTACGGAAAGGTATTGCCTGTGGGTAGAGCTGGTATGCCGCAAGATATGGCTAATGCTATACTTTTCCTGGCAAGTGACCATGCTGCTTTTATTACTGGTGCTAATTTGATCGTGGATGGTGGTATACTAGCTGCTAATGCTGTTAATTCTGATATAATTAAAAATGCATTATAAAATTATTATGATCATGTTGAAAAGTAAAATTACGCTAGCATTGTCTTATTTACCAGTTTTCTAATATTATACTATCCTGCTAATATTGTTAAAATAATTTCAATAAAAGCTGTATTTTTTTTAATAAATAATAAGTGTTTTTATTTAATATGTTTTGTTATGATTATATTACTACCAAATTAGTAACAAAAAATAATTTACAATTTTATACATTTTAAAACATAAGTTGTTTGTTTATGTGTTATAGTACAGTACTAGTAAATTAGGTGCAATTTTATTATCTAGCTAATCAATTTGTAAATCAAAATCAAGTTAATTTCACATCATACATTTATTAATAGAAATGCACTTAGCCATTTGACCATTATTATCTATCAATGATTATAAACACATTTTAAGTACAAGGACTCTAAAATACTATAAATACTAGCATTTAGTCTAAAAATTTATTACAAATTTAAAGGTTTTTCACAAAAATAATGTCTAATAAACGACAGGCGCTGTTCGTACCGGTCGATGCCGTGGGTCACGTGAACGCGTGCGTAGGCCTCGCGGAGGTACTCATACACGCGGGCTATACCGTCACGTTCGCCGTAAGCACCCTATGGGCGGGTCGGCTCACAAAGTACGGCATACGCGAGCAACTGCTCCGTTACGATGACGATACCGATGATAGTGATCCGGCTAAAAAGTATAGCACTAAGCTCATATCGGATGGCGTTATTGGATCCGAGTCGACCCCGATCAAAAATTTGCTAAATATCACCCAGAACTCGATGCCGTACTTTGTGGACAGACTCGCAAATACTGATGTAATGGTGGGCGAGTTGTTGGTCACCCTGAAACCCGATGTGGTATTTGTGGATCAAATAATAGGGTTGCCATCTGTGGTCAAGTCGGGCATACCGTGGGTACTCGTATGTAGTTGTAATCCGTTGTATTTGATACATGATACCCGGGCACCCCCGCTAAACTCAGGTATTTATTGTTTTCTAATAATTAATATAGTTAATAGCTATATATTAAAGCTTAAACTATTGCTTAATATCACAATTGTCTAAATTATGATGATAAATATTTTTAATAAAATATAAAAGATCTCTAAAAGAATTCTAATTACATAATTTAATTATCAAGAATTTTAAAAGCAAAAATGTGTTTATACTGTATAATCTGATTTATCATGTTAACTGTACTGTACACTCACATATTTTTATTAACAAACTGTAATGCAAAAAATAGGTTATATTTATACTACTTAAATTGATATTATATATTATAATAATGGAAGGGACACCTTACCGTATTCACTTGCCAATATAATTAATTGTCCATAATTTTTCAAATTATTATACTTGCTGTCAATTAATTAGAGGAAATAATTTAAAATGTGAAATGAAATATAATATAAGTTTAGATTATCTATATCTGAACAACTATGTTTTCAATGAAAAATTTATTTAGTTATATGATTTAATTAATAATAATTTTACTTTACTAAAATGTAAATATATAAATAAGGTTTACTATTAAAATTATACAAACAAACTGTAATAAATAAAATAAAGCTTATGCACACTACATTAATTAATTAAATATATTATATCATTGAAGAACAATAGCATAACAATAATCTAGTTTAGTTTTTAAATAGAATTTATTTTTCTAATTGTGCTATTAAAATTTACCAAATTTTTGAAATTATAATCTCGCAATTAACAGGGCTACCCGCGATTGGTCCTACACACGAATGGGAAACATTCAGAAATATATACACCGAGGCTAAACGACCTATACTCAATAAATACAACGAGTATTTAAAAGCAAACGGACTTGCACCAATAAAAAATGAATCACCATGGTTAATTGACCATTCCAACTACTTGAACATCTATGGCTACCCCCACGAACTGGATTACCTGGACATGAGACCATTACCACCAAAATGGCACCGATTTGACAACCTTAAGCGCACTGACTCACACCACACCACGTTTGACATACCGATCCCATTGCGGGACAGACCGGGAAAACTCGTATACTTCTCGTTGGGATCCATGGGTTCGGCGGACGTGAAGAATATGAAGAGATTAGTGGATATTATGTCGAAATCTAACCACAGGTTCATTGTATCCAAAGGACCCCTACATGACGAGTACGACCTACCGGTGAACATGTGGGGCGCGGCTACTGTTCCCCAAATACAAGTGCTACCAATTGTCGATTTGGTGATAACCCATGGAGGGAACAACACGTTAACGGAAACCCTTTATTACGGGAAACCTATGATAGTTATGCCTCTATTAGGCGATCAATGGGATAACGCACAGAGGGTTCACGAAAAAGGGTTTGGTATCCGATTGGATGCCTACCGGTGCTCGGAGTCTGAGTTATTGGCAGCGATTGAGAAGTTATTAAATGATAATGAGTTGAATGAAAGCCTTAAGAAAATATCGCAAAGAATACAATCGGATAATAGTATCGGAAAATTACCGCAAATTATTGAACAATTAATTACTAAAACATAATTAAAATTTTATTTTATAAATGTAACTAGTATACTTTGTTTAATAAAAACTTGATTATTTAATTAATTTGTATTAATATTTATTCTATAAATTGTAACTTTACAAGATATAATACTATATTTAGAAAAACTAAATTATGTAGGTCAATATTATAATATTTATTAAAAATATGGACATACATGTAATTAGTTATTTAGTCACAAATTATATTGTATAATAAATATTTCGTAACATACCTTAATTTATCTAATTTTATTTTAGTCCACAATTAGTGCAATTCTAGCCCTATATTACAGAAATAACCTTGATTAGTCCAAGTAAGCGTTAACTCAATGATAAATTTTAAAGTAAACTAACATTTGAATGATAACATTTACAAATAACTATACATAATAAATACCTAAACATGTTATAAGTAAGTTAATAGTAAAAAATATTAATTGTGCAACTAAACTTAAAGTTAATTATTGCCTAAATGTATATGACCTTGGAATTTATATATATCTTATTATTTATATAATCTTATTATTATCACTATTTATATCTGAGTGACAAAAACTGTAAAATGCTATAAAAGGTGAAACCAAAACCAACAATAATTATAATTTTACAGTTTATCGCAAAAAAATAATGTCTCAAAAACGACAGGCGCTTTTCGTGCCGATCGACGCCGTGGGTCACGTGAACGCGTGCGTAGGCCTCGCGGAGGTACTCATACACTCGGGCTATACCGTCACGTTTGCTGTCAGTGCCCAATGGGCGGGTCGGCTCACAAAGTACGGCATTCGCGAAGAAATACTACACTTCGATGGCGACGACAATGTGGTTGGCCCGGCTAAACACCTTGCTGATAAATTGGTAACCGATGGCTCGATTGGACCCGAGTTGACCCCGATCAAAAATTTGATCAAGCTCACTGAGAAGTCGATGCCGTACTTTATTGAACGTAACGTACGT